AGTGCCAATCAATTACGTTTCTTTCGGATGGGTGAACTTTGAATCTTGTGGAAATATCGCCATGTGGTAGGACCATTTTGGAAACTTAATAATGCATGAAAACCTTTTGAAATAACGACAAATTAATAAATTTAAAACAATAGCTTATCAATTAGCTCAAAGTTATAAGGAAATATTAATGTGTGTTTGTCCTAGTTTGTATATGTTGAATCTAAAATAAAATCTTCGACAAGATATTTCTTAAAGAGATCAATATTTGCCAAATATCTGATTATGTAATAGATTAGGGGAATATCAGTCTGTCTACATACTGCAAACCCAAATCTTAATGATTTTGTAACGTTTTTATTTTTTAACAAACGACATAAAATTTGGTTTACTGTATAATCTAATTAATCATGAACTGAAATCCACGACTGGTTTGGACTCACCTTATTGTTTGCGTGAAAGTAGAATCAAAATATTTTTTTTGGTCAACAAAGTTTACTTCATTCAAATAACTGATAAAGTACAAATCGAGGAAATTAACCATCCTCCTACATTAAAACATAATTGCAATGCAATAAAATATAAAGCAGATAAATCATCGTAGAAGATGGACAGCGGATCCAAGGCATTCCTCAGATGCGTCAAGAGGGTTTTCGCGGCAGGGCCGGAGAGTCTCAGGGTAGTTACTTTCCATTGTGACTTTGAAGATCCCGGCATAACGTTCGGGAGTACGACCAGTCTCCAAGAGAGAGAAGAAAATACGACCAGACTCCAAGAGCTGGAAGACGATGGAATTAAACTCTTTCACCAGGAGTAGATTACAGGATTTGAGAATCAAGAAAACTTTGGATTTCTCAAAGAAGAGAAATCGATACGCTCAAAAGCAAGTAAGATCGATAAAGAGTATAGATATGGTTCCAATACTAGCCCTAAAGAGGTGTCATGTGTCCATAAATAAGATTAATGGAGAGTATACACAATTAACCATATAAGTATCATACACTGAACTGGGCTCAAATACCTTGAGCATTGGGCCTAGTGGGCTAAGGAGTCCAAACATCCTAATGTGGCAATCCCAAGTTACCAATAAAATGGGTCAAGCCCAATTTGTGGATTTGTTCTCGATCTGGATGGGAGGGGTACTTCGGGTTCTCCGTAACAGCCGACAACCGCGGCGGTGGGCGAAAGAATCGGCCGGTTTTCACGGCGGCATCTGCTCAGACCATCACCGGAGAGGCGCTATCCTTGTGTCCCTTCCAGAGAGATCGATTTCACAGCACGGGAGGATGAGATCGCACGGAGGGGCGGCGGTTCTACGTCACTAGTCGCCGCCGGAGCAGGGGTTGCAGCCGTGGGCTGAGGTGGTGGCGAGGTAACTGTAAGGGTGAAGAGAAGTCGGTAGTGATAACCCAGGGGTGTAGGGTAACAGCGGCCACGCGTCGGCGCTACGGTGACGGAGGTGATTTTTCCGGCGAGAGATGCGCCGGCGTAGATGAGTTGGGATCTGGGAGAGTAGTGGTTCTTGTAGTCAGCAGAGCATGAGTTGAAACCGTAGACTTGGGACTGTGCGAGATGAACATCGGAGGAACAATGACGATGAAGCCAACGTGGAGAATCCGGAGGGTCCAGTGGCTCGGGCGGTACATGGGATTCTTTCTCCTCCGAGCCTGGATTCACCCAAAACAGGGAGAGAGCGAAGCACTGACCTTGACGATAGGTACCGTTTGGTGAGTCCGAGAGGGTGCGGTTCAGTGGAGCAAGCATCATTTCGTTAAAGCTAGCACCGGATCCAAAACCAACGTCTTTTCCACCAAAAAGGAATGTAGGTCTCGGGGGAACAAGGAGACCGAGGGGGCTACGACAATGGAGCTCAGACAGCGAGAGGAACGAAGACGAATCGGAGGTGAGCTTCCATTCTCACCGGAACAAATCTTCAAACGCGACGTCTCGAGTCCCGTATCTGAGAGAGAATGGATTAGGGCGAACCGTTATTAGAGATTAGGACGAATAGAATCAAAATCTTTAAAACTCTACTTTTACCGTAGAAAATAACTCCAATTACATCAACAAATCTAGATTAATTGCTAGCTATAGCAATATATATATATATTTACACAATAACTGCTTTATATATGATTGTTATAGTAGTAGTTTTATTTCATGTCTATTGACCCCATTTTTCCAATATTGGACACCAGATTATATATTGACCGTCTTCTTTTGTGTTACGTGTGATTAATCTCCGATTAAACTATGGATTCAACATAAAACAAAACAATCAATACACATGTAATGTATGTAATCATGTATGTGATTATTAATGGACAAGATGATATGACATAGCAATTAGCAACATGTTGTAGTAGCTAGAAGACGGTTTTTGAGATATGGTGAATCCACATTTATTTTTCTCCTTTAACAAATTGATCCACCAACATGCTTGCCCATCATAAT